TGATGGTGGTGGTGGTGCTAGTCGCGATGATGATGATGATGATGATGATGATGATGATGATGATGATGATGATGATGACTGTATCAACTCTCATATCATATCTTTCAGGTAAATATGGTGATGATCTGTCCGAGTCCACCGAGTGCATCAAGCACTTATGGTCTGCTTTATCCAAGTTCACCAACGATGAACGGAGTAAGTTTCTTCGTTTCGTCACAGGAAGACGCCGTCCTCCCTCACCGTTTACCGTGGTTAAGGCAGGAGGCACGAATGAGCTTCCTAATGCTTCGACTTGTGCTAGTTCGCTGTTTTGGCCGAATTATCCGTCTGCAGCAGTGGCTACTGCTCGGCTAAGGTAACACGTGGTTGATGTGAGACACTGTTGACACTCTACAATTACCCCACCCCTACCCCTCTTCGGAGAAAACCTCCTTAGTTATTAGTCAAAGCACTCCTGAGATTTAAAACGTTCCTTTCATTGTAGGTACGCGATTTACAACTGCATTGCTATAGACACAGATACCAGCCCCTGGTAAAGTCACATACGTAATAACCAATTCCGATGMAATCCGATTGGTGATCGAGAGGTTCACGAGAGAACATCGAATGCTTACCGAGAACATTGTTCGTCAAGTCTCTGGACTTGACTCAAGTCTGTACGACGTCTGGTCCTTTAGCTCATGGCAGYCGCACAAAATTKAGAGAATATRACAAAAATTCAAGRTTTGATAAATCAATACACAATGACGCTATACCTTACAYAGATATTTTGGTATTGTGAAAAAGCTTTAAGCCTAAAATTATTCACTTTCTTCAGACTTTTCACATCTGTCCAACAAATTTGTGAAACTCAGAACGGAAACCTCTGTATTAGAAACATCGTTTGTGCCCTTATTAAATGGGTTACAAGGTGAAATTTTCTTACCGCTAACACCATGTAAGACTTCTCAGTTTTACTTACGAACCGCGTGTTTGCCCTTTTTGCGGTTTTAGATTCGTAGGCGTCGCCCGGAATTATAATTTTTCCGTTTAAGAAGAATTTCCGCGTCGAACGAAAATAGCACATTTCACAGATTATAATGATAGGGTTGGGTTAGAAGGTGGAAAAAAACGCCTTGATTTATATTAAGTTGACCCCTCCTCGACTAAACAAATTAAAATTAAATGAAGAGTAGTCGTAATGCAACTGTAATGGTGGTTTAGGCTTTTCAATATCAGGTAGTAAATGATAAAAAAAATCACATTTCCTTTGCTGTTTCCTTTGCTGTAACATAGATCAATAGCGGAGGTGTCGGTCGAATTTGTTTAACAAGCTTTTAATTAAGCGTGGACACYCTTTAATGACTTTGAATGATGAAACAATGCTAAATCAATGGTGAATTTATATATCAAATCCGATTTAGTTATTAATATGGACATCTGAATATCCCAAAGAAAGATAGCGAAAATGCTGGTCAAATGATTATCTAATGTAAACCAACTAAGCCTAGCGGAAGGAAAATTTCACCATACTTACCAAACTAAGAGAGAGGTTCGTAAGTATTAGGTAATGTCTCGTACAGTGGTTTTCATAAACTCGTTAAATACACCTTCTTACTCTTTATATTGAACCTTTTTCGTCTTTGACTAGTACTTTAGTTTCACGGATTTATGAAAATCACTCTAACGGGAACGTATTAGAGTACCCTGCGAGCAGAGTGTATTTCCTTCGCGAATTTTTATTGAGGTAAGGAAATACACTCTGCTCGCAGGGTAGTATTAGAGTAAAATTTAAGAATTTGTAATTCTAGAAAGCAGCTTAGAGTAGTTTTCATTGACCAGTGAAATAAGCTTTGGAATACTACACTTAACTACTTTTTATTTTGCATGTTTTTCTTTTCTGTACATCACACTGTGTTTCAAGTCTTTGACCACTACGCTTTTTCACAGGTTTATGGACTATCACTCTAAGTCATAGGACTRTATAAGAAATATGATTTGTACTTAGATTATTTAGAATGCTAAATTAACGCAAAAGCTTAAAAATATATATTATAATTATTATTGAATGTTGTAGAGATACATTTTATTCCGATCTCCAGCGGCTGTCCRTCGCTATTTTTGACGTCTCGTGCTCTCCTATACAGTCGCGACATACAAACCTTGTTTCGCTGTTTCGAGACGATTGAGCTGCTGAGAAGATTGATTCCAAGTTTCAGCACACCTCGTTCGCAGGACCTGGGAATGAGTTTGCYATGCARCAGTGTCGCTTTTCAGCTACTTGTTTCGCAACGTCATTCCAAAGGCGGTTCTTAGCCGGCTTGAATCAAACGTAATGATGGAGCAGTCATTATATTAAGGGAGGACCGATAAACTGCGGTGAGAGCTGTAATTTCTTATGCCCATTTTATTCTCGGTTTGCACATGACGTCATCAGTCGAAAAAAAAATTCTAAAATCACAGACACACAACTTTGCAGCACTAAAATACCTTGAAGAGCATGATAGAAGTTCTCTCCGAAAGGAAGGCCACATGAACTGTACGTTCGTGAACTGTACGTTCGTGGGAGTCAATTTTGTTGAACGCGAGCTTCCCCTTAATAATTACCCCTTCCTAAAAACAGTTTTAGTGGAGAAAAAATACCTACAAAAGAAAAGCCAGGCGGGRGTGGTTTGTTACTGATTTCGGCGACTACGTGATTTGACTGTCAATATGAATTTTATACAAAATCGAACAAAATCGATTAAGTTCAACAAATGTCGATTRATTACAGGATACGATGTAGACCGACCGCAGATTACCATAAATATATATATCGGCGTTCGATCCAGGTCGTTTTATCAGAGGTTGTACTGTTACCCTCGGTTCCCTGACATCCCTTATTCGCTCGCTTTATCGGGGGCTATWTTCTTATGTCAGACCGACCGTAGATTAACCTCAATTGTGTCTAAGTCAAGTGTCCATCGATAGAGATCCCTGTCACAAAAGCTTCGGCAAATAAAGAGCTCAACAATTCTTGTATTTTATGTGGATTTGATTGRGGTTTGAGTGTCTTTAGCTCAAGATAAATCTTCTTTTCAGAGGAAACCCTTGTGAGTATGTCGTRGAGCGGTAAGTTCAAAGACGACATTGCTAATGGGGAGCAGATGTTTTGTTGCAATGACGTGCTGCGCCAAATCTAAATGTTGGTAACCCGTGGTGTGTAGTAAAGACCTATAGGCGAAGCGCCAACTCCAATAACATGTTTTAACCAGAGTGTTTAACTGAATYTTTTAGTAACACGTCCAAAAGTTGAAATCTCAAAAAAAAAAAAAAAACTTGGTAGTTGTCAATCATCTTAACAGCCAATCATATCGAGACCTTTAGTTTAAGCTCCGCCTACTCCTGGGTTCTTTCATTGTGTCGTCGTCTCATTTCAGATCATCTCAGCGCTAATGAAAAACAACGAATTCTACTTTGAATTTTTTTTCACCAATGGGGTTTTGAAATGGGACAATCCCCAGTGTGAATGTCCGAGGTAGCATGGATAACAGAATAAAACAGTGAACAACCATCAGTTTTATGTCTTAATGCGCATGACTAAATGCAAAGTGGATCGTGAGGTGGAACCAATATCGACCGATAGGACTGTGCTTCCTCCCAATGTTCCGTTACCAGATTATTTGTTACGGGACTAGTTTGATTAATAATTTTATCATCCTTTATAACGTGTCTTGACCATCGTTCTACGCATCTTCATCATCCACAGCAGCATCATTCATTTAACCTTTGTTAGAGTTACATCATTTYTTTAGCAAACGACAATGAAAAGTTCTAGTACCCCTGTATGGCGCATGGCTGCAATAGTCCCACTCTGCCACCTGCCCTACCCTCTGCAGTCTCTCTCTACCTTCTCATCTCAAATTGACCTGAGCACTGTTCCCTGACCTGGATCCGCCCCTAAGACCCGCGTGATGACATGAAGCGACTCGCCAGGCCGCGTTAATCTTCGCCAGTACTCAATTAGTTTACAAATACCTGCCCATGATATCACGAATATTGCCCCTGTCTATATTTACACTTGCTGGTCAAATTTTCGCAAAACTATTTGCTTTAGATGAAATACATTATTATGAACACAAGCAGAAAATTAGAAATTCGGGTTCACAAGAAGGACGATATAAATGGTAAAGGAAAGCGATAACTTCACCAGCGAATGAAGTTCGCAAACCATCAGTTGTTTTAAGTTCATCAGTAAGATTCAATTGAAAATCCCCTTAGAAATTATCTTTGATTCAATTCAATGATGACCTTCATTTGGCAAAGTCTACGGCCTGGGTGGTTTGGTTAGTCTATGTCATCTGGTATAGTTTTTTTTTGTGATGGCGATAATCCCTCTTGAATTAAACGACTTAACATCAAGTCGCATCAACGTGTCTTCTGCAGTAAAGTATTTGCTTTTCCTGATTTTAAACATGAWCTTCTCAGTTCTACAAAACAAACGAATAAATCCATGGGGCTCGAGTGTAGTTATTGTTATTTATTTTGGGATCGATCTGCAATGCTTTCATGATAATATAAACCATAGTTAATAGTTAATATTAACTATGTATAAACCCAACCATTTATTGATAATTAGTAGTAATAATAAAAGAAATGTTTTCTATGACCATAATATCTTAGAATGAAATAATAATGCTGATGCCGTTGGCAGCCAGGATTATCAAAACGATAATGATGATTTAGATAATGACTGAAGAGCAATTGACTCTATTACCGATAGGGACGCCATCTTGAATATGAACTGAGACCGATAAGGCCGCCATCTTGAATTCTATTGTTTTCACCTATTTTTTCATCAAGAAACTATGGTATGCGCAGTGTGCACTAGACATTTTTMCRTAACACTCCAACATAACAACGTGTACTTTTGACTTCTGGGCATCCAATAATTTCTTCAGAATTAAAAATGGCCGCCGTATCATCAATGAGGTACGTCTATTATATATAGTGATCAAAAAATACAGTAATCTGGCAATAATGATAAACTAACTTACATTATAATGGATAAAATAATATATCATTTATTAATTGCAGTAAATGATTTTGATCTAGTAATTTTTCATGTTGCATCGCTCTAGCATAGTAAAACATTGGATTATTTTCTTAGCTGACGCGTCATTGCTGTGACATTACTGTTTTTCCATTGAACACCCCATAAAGAAAGGAAAGAAAAGAAAAGAAAATAATGTTTGTCATTTTTTTTCATCCTTTGAATAGATCATACAATAATGATGATATTCCCACATCAGAGTACGTGATATATAATTATGAAGGATTATCAGCGGCCCAGCTTGACTGGGCTTCATGACAGTCGATAAACTACTGAGCAACCTCTGGCTGCATAGGCTGATCCAGTATCATCAATAAATCTCTTTATAATTCATATTTATTCTTCATTGGTGATCAGGTAATAATATTGACCGCCATTGAAAATGATGACTCTATTTTGAGGCTACCGATAATCGATTTCCGGCTTCTAGTAAACTAATGTTCAAAAGGTTGGAATTCGTCTATTAGTGTATAGACAATCTATCATCAAGTTACRATAAAAAGAGAGAAAAAACTAGGCGCACAAGTTCACGTAAATGTTCGCTAAGGTTTGGAGATTCTTTTAGGTGAGATACAAAGTCCTTATAACGCGGGCTCCCAGTATAGAGATGCGAAAAARAGAACTTAGTTATACAAATCCGGTTCCATCCGACAGTTCAGTGTCTCATTTTATTCCGTTATGTCGGTACTGTTTTTAAAACTAAATAGTTTACGCCTTTTCCGTCTTTTCCTTTTACTGACAAAGAGATGCGCGCTRTTCTTTCAACTTTGCGGCCATGTTTGTTGCTGAAAGCTTGCCTGATACATAATGCGGAGAAATTAAATCGTTGGAGTCAAACTAAAAAAMCCCAAAAAAGGACCTAAAAAACTAATCTGTTGATTTGAAGATACCAATGATTTGGTTTCGTATATACTGTTACATTTTCGTAGCGGTTTTGTTTTTTGTCTTTGGCTCTTTTTCCTTGAGGAAGTTACDGACCAACTAAACACACAGGTGGGGGAACAACGAGTCCTTATAACATTTAGAAAAAGGACTACTTGTGGGATATTGCGTTTTCAATTAATTTTTACTGGAAAAATAAACATTCCTAGTATTTAGCATGATTTATTTTTCATTAATAGCTAGTAAGACTGTCAATTTGTCATCCAAAGTAACATAATAGCRTTTAAAACATGCCATCAAATTGAAATTAGTRAAATGGGTTTAAAGAAAGCATRCAGGTTGTTACCTGCAAGAGTTTTGAAGGCACTCAATGATGACCAAGTTAATTATGATATCAGCGACAAGTCTAACGTCGACGAGAAATGCCCCTAGGGGCAATCCGCCGCTACACAACCAACCACTTCATAATCAGGTTGACCGTTTGAGAAGGAGTTACATAGGTCCAAACGTGAAAGTCARTGATAATGGGGCTACTAGGAATACATTTATGACTACTGAAATAATAGGTTGAGCTGGCAAAGGGCAAAGTACACTTTCTCAACAATGTATTTAAGAGGTGCGAATTCGGTATCAAAATATTGTGATTTTATACATTATTCACRAGTTGAGTTATCACTGTCTTAGCCTAAATCGTCACAGCTGCTTTCGCGCGCTTACATCGAAGAGTGGATAGAGGCGACGAGAGACAGGAGAGGAAAATAAGTCCCAACTTATGTGACCCCGTATTCTTTTACCGCCAAGTTTTTATCATCGTGCACTTGAAACAGCCAATCACGTTACAGCTATGGCGTGTAGCAGCGCTCAAGCCGAGTCATCTTGGCAAAAGTCCCGCGCGCGCACTTAGGGAGGCCATATCCTAATAGAAAGTGTCGCAGTTTTGTTTGGGCCYAAATTAAAACCTTTTTAATTTCAGTTCTTTTTAAAGATGGCTAACGAGAGTCCCGCTTAAAGTACTCAATTTTGCAATTAGTTTCGATACTTGTGTAGATCAATTCCCCGAAAAGTGAAACACCGGTAGAGGATTTTGAAAAACATCAAATTGCTAAAGACTTCAAACCATGCCGAAAAATCGGTTCCAGACGGTTTGATGGTTGATGAGCGATTACCTCAGTCTGCGCAGAAGTGTTTAATTTTGTTGATTTTAGGGCTTGAATATTTCATTCTCTCTCTAGATGAGAACCTAAATATTTATTTGTTCTGTTATGATAAATTGCGCTTGGGAGAGATACAAATCGACCTTTTGAACTTAGTCTTGAAAGGYTTTTCTGTGTTTTTGCCGCTTGTAACCTCMTTACATCATGATAAGTACTTGCACAGATGTAATTCGTCACATCACCAAAATACACACCTCAAGTTATGAACGMGTACCCTAAACTATACCACYTTAGCTMTCTTTTTAGAGYTGTCGCAACATCCTGGCTGATTCCACAAACARAGATCGTTTTATTCTGCTTTCTCGACTGGAAAGACGCATTGCCTGCATGCATGCTGTTGCGCAAAAGGAAGCAATGACCTCGACTGTGCTTAGTAAATAATTTTCGACGCAACTCGGTTCAATTTTAGTTTTAAACTGGAGGAGGATTTTAACCCCAAGGAAAGTTCAATTCAGATTTAAAATGAAGTTCCCAAAGCCGGATGGCTGAAATCCGGTATTCGAATGTAAATATATTTTTAGAAAAAAAGCATAGGTGGTCGTGGTAAAAAGTTTTTGCGCAAAAAAAAATAGCGTAAAGAGAATAGCAAAGATAACATGGCTGCTAGTTTTGGCGACCCCAAGGGATYTATATATCATCGCTTCCCAATTTACTGTGTTTGATTCTTTCAAATGTGTCCGAGTGTCACCAATTCAACGTAATTAAACTAATTATCTCGCAGTTCTTATCGGAGTGCCAAGAATGGATCCAATGTGACCCTGTAATTGTCAAAGTAAACATCAAAAGCCATTTTACCGCCACTACCCATCACGCATTGCGCGCCTGGAGGTCCTTCCTTCGTGAAAGGTGAGGAGGCTCTTTCGATCTGGTTGCGTCCGTTTGGTGTTCTCCGATTACAACTTAGCATTTTCTTCCTTTCAAAATCAAACCCGAGGGGCAGTGTTTATTCGTTCAGGTACAGAAATGAAGGTCGCACTTTGGACTTTGTCAATTTTGGTGGCGATGTTTTGCCTGTGGCTCGCTTGTGACAACTTTGGTTGGTCGGTTTTTTTGCAGGATAAAACCTGAGCTGAATTCTAACTTAGAGATGTAAGACGAGTCACCTTGGAGCGCGAGTTTTGATTGCAAGCGGTGAATGGTGAATTAGCGTAAGTTGAGCACTTTGTTCGCATCGTTAGTATATAAAGGGACATCGATATTTGCTTTAGACTAGAGTGGCTCCGTTCGTGACTGGAGAGCACGTGTGATACCGTGYAACTCGCCGTGCATTACACAAGACAATCTTTTACAATTTATCTTTTTGCAGCAGTTGGATCAACGTGTTTCAGGCTGCTTTATTAAGCTGYGCTCCGCTATTATCTCATTATAATCGCAGAGATCTCTCGCCATTAACTTTGACAGCCCTAATAGAACTTGAAGACTTAAACCACCCGTTCGACTGTCTTGAAGTATAAACTCGACTTTTGGGCCAATTTTGATAATCATAAACTGCAGTGAGCGTCATATTTGTCGGTCAAATTGAGTTCTTTTTTGCTTGCTGTTCGCTGTAGCTTGTGGTTTTATTTTTAGATCCTGTAGATTGGCTGTCTTTGCAAGGCTTTGCTGGCGTGCTTGCAAGTCTTCCAAGTTGATTACGATGTCTTCATTCATTCAAACACAAACCGCACTGTTTTTACTTGTTTGGTCTGCGGGTGCGAGTGGCATTTTAGGCAATATAAACTCTTTGTTAGTCGTCTTCTTTGATGGTTATAAATTRTCTTTTGTTTTGTTTTTTTCTTCGTGAAGGAAGTTTCCTTTCTTCCTCTATGAAGTCTCTGTTGTTTCTTTTGTTTCTAGCAATTTTACGCTATGTGATTCTGACCTCTTTGTTTTTCCCCTCGTTGAATCCGGACTTGTTGTTTTACGGCCAGATAATTTCTATATTGTCTTTTTGTTAATTATTCTCAACAATCTTTATCTCCGGATGTTGCGAAGTACGGAAGATTTGTAAGCGCTTTTTCTGCAAAGCGGGACGGCTTGATTCTTTACCGGAAATCAGTCAGATTTGTATCTGAGATCGACCAAGCATCTCTCTTTGATGGCTCAAACTCGTGTTTTTAATTGCTCTAATGACTCTTGCAAACTTTTCGCGATTTAAAGTTGACAGGATCACTTGTATTTACACTTCACTGGGATTTGCACAACTTTCTCCGATACTGTTTGCGTTCGATAGCCAAGTATTGATGTGTTGTTTGTGTCATTCATGTGTTGTAAAAAGCAAAACCTTTTTGTTTTGATCATAAGTCTTTTTCAATATTTGTCTCCGTTGTTTGTTTTGAAGAAGTGCAAGCAACGTTTGTTGTACTTTATGGATTTGTTGATCCTCGCTGTGCCAAACAAGTTGGAAATATATAATCCTTTGCGACTGTTCTAATCCCAAAAGAACCAAACGCGCTCTAGAAATTCGAAGGAACCCAAACTCGCGCAGAGAATTACAATTTTTAACCGTAAACAATGAAGGTAAAATAAAAAAAGATTCAAAGAACTCTCTCTAAGTAGACTTCCTGTCTGATATTCATTGAATGTGTGTTTTAACCTCGTTTTTAATTGTTTTCGCGAAGAGTAATGTTGAGTCCGTAGTCAGGCGAGTTTAGATAAAAAAGATTTGGGGACGCAACTTTTGACAGACTAATTCGCGGTCTTAATCAGTATCCAAATGGCCTTCCGGATACGAATTATTGACAGAAAAACTTTTTACTTTACCAACAATGGGCCAAATAGATCCGACTGTTTTCTTGTTGCCTCCTGGCGAAGTCTTTCAAATTAATGACTTTGTTTTTCTTTTGTTCGAAATAATTACTTGAAAGGGATTTTATTGAAAAAGTGACTGCCGGTCATTACGAATTGAATCAACTCCGACATAATTATTAGAATTTATGAATTGCTTAAAATACTTCAAACTCATAATGTAAATATTTTGTGTCTTTTATGGCAAGTAAATTATTGCTTTCCTGTAGTTAAAAGTGATGTGAGTTTATTCAGTAAAAACACCTGAGCAGATCTTTTGTTTTGCTTTATCTTGAACAAGTACTCTCCATCACTGTTTATGCCAGAAGTTGTCTTGTCTTGGACGTTTAAGTCATTTGTTAGCATGTCTACTAGAAAGAGTTAAACCCTTCAAAGTAATAACAAGTCAAAAAGCTATTTTGTCATTATTGATTTTAGGTTTTTGAGTTTAAGGAAAGACTAAGTAAGTAAGAAGTCACTTCACTCAATCAGCTGCCTTGACTAGTAATTTATGCAAAGCAAACGTTTAAGCTGGCAGAGGCTGTGCAAAACGTTGTTGTCCACTTCTCCCACAAGCAGCCATGACAAGAAAACAGTTTTTCAGGCCGAGCTGTGCTTGGCAGGCATACTACATTCGAATGGTGAGGTGACAATACTTATTATATAATAGCTTTTGTGACAGAGTTCTTAATAAGAAAGATTGAATTAATTCTTTTGTATGGAAAGATAAACTAACTAAACTTCTTTTTATCAAGTGTTCTCATTTCTAAGATTCGATTCTGAAAATCTTGATAACTGATAAGAATTGGATTGTAGACCTTGGTTATATACATTAAAAACAACTGCAAACACCCTTTTGGCAAAAAGGTCTCATTTTATGTCATTACATAATGAAAATGGGGCTATTAAACATTTTTGATTTTCTAAATTATATCAATATTTTGCTTTTAGTGTAATCATCGATAGACTATGAAGTRAAATTAGGTTTGAAATATTTCATTGCAGTTCAGTTTTTGATTGTCTGACTTAGTACTAAGTTAAAATATATCATTTTAACTGCATGTGGTGTGGTTTTGTAAAGTGTAAATTGATAAATCTTTTTGCCTTATAGTTTGAAATTTRTTCTCTAAGAAAGAAAGAGAAAAGTTTGCTAGAAATAGGAAGTTTAGTTGGTGTTGGTGTATATATGTATTTATCAAATTTGTGTTTGAAATTTAGACATCTTMAATAATTTATTAATTGCGCTTGGTTAGTAGTCCAACAACAATACTTGCTGTACTTGCCTGAGGGCTTTTTGACTGCATAAACCATAAAGTCAGCTAAGTGAATTTCCCATCCATGTTGTTATGTATTGAGAAGAAGGGTTCTGAAGTAGGGTTYCTTGATAACATCAATGGTTTTGATACTGGCCAAGTCCTGTGCTGCTCTGATTTGTGTGTCAGCTAACTGTATGATCAAGAAATGATCATGTGAAAACTTATATCGGTTTTGTGAAGATTTTTTACCGTATATCAAATATCAAATGTCTTAGAAAGTGAGCTTTGCATATCAGGTCTTCAAGGTTTCAGTTTGATGGGTATTGCAGGTCCAGTATCACAATTTAACAAGTGTAGTGATTAAAGCCAAGAGTGTACAAGTATACCACATTTCAAGTTTCTTCCCTTGTGTCAAAAACTGGGCTTTTTTAGCGAAACAAACTAAATGACCATTTCAAAACCATTTTTTTCTTGCCTTCAGTAGCAAAATTATACTGCAAAATCCCTAATGTTATTTCCCAGATGTGTGTGTTTTGTGGTAGGAGTTAGTTTTGTTTAATAGACGTGTCTTATAGGCTAATAGCAATGCCTGCTTTCTGTCACATTCACACAACACAAAGGCTCTGTTTCATTGTAATCATGGCTGTCAGTTCTCATGGCAAACCTTTCAAAAACAACTTCAATCCATTAAGCTTTCGATTAAAAAAATAACCAAATATTCTTCCTGTATATCTCATAAGATGTTTATACCTCATTTTGTGTTTTAGAGCTGGAAATTTAGAGTATTTTGTAAGCTTTTCTTTTGTTGAACAATGGTAATTCCTTTTAATCTTTAAGCTGATTACAAAAGGAACACCTTTCAAAGAAGATATTTTTGAAAATGAAGAGATTTGACAAGAAAGATTGCTGATAAGAAGTCATACAAGAGGAACAGATTGGAAATAGCTTTTGTTTGATGTCGATGATTTTGTTTAACTTGACATACGGTCAAAAGAGCAGTTGTATATGGTCCTTTCAAACTGCAGAAGACTCATTTTGATCAAATTAATAATTCAGACCACATTAGTATTGACCCTTTTATTTAGATACTTTGTGATTTAGCAAAGGTGCCGTCTTAACTTATTAAAGCTTCCTTTGTTTTTAGTATTGTTCAATTGGAAGGGATTACTGTAAAAGGTTTTGACAATCTAAACAATCATGACTTCCTAAAATACATGATTRGGTTAAAAAGCTTTTGTGTGAAGCGAATTATTGTTAGAAATACCACATTTTTTCCTCTTTTTTTTTACAGCTTTTTTTCTTTCGTGGTGTATCATGTTCTTTTAACCAAACTAGTCATTTTGAGGTTATATTGGTAGAGAATATGAAGAGATGTCTTTGTTTGTTGGCTCCTCTTTTTCTTACCACAGTTTTAGCTATGTTGTAACTAACAAGTGTTAACATCTTGCAGCTAGAGAGGGAACAAGTGTGCTTTTTTTGCGATATTATCCTGTATCTTAAATGATTTAAGTATTTTGAATAAAATGTGCAAGTGATTTTAGTTGAAGTTTGTTTTTGTCTGACAATTGATTTGAATAAATTTTGAATGCTAAAGCAAAACCTGTAATTCTGGAAAAATATATGTTTAATCAGCTCAAAGATTTTGCTTTTGCATGGTTTTCATTAGATTTCATCTTAATAAACAGCAATGCTTTTTTAAAAATTTGTTTTCAACTTAGTTCTGTGATCAGAAAACTTTTTAAAACGTTTCCAAAAGASATTTTTAATTAATTTGCTGTAATTTTTTCTTCTTTTCAGAACATGGCTACAGATCAAGGGCAGTCTGATTCAAACAGTAGTTTGGAGGGTATTCCGGTGAGTCCCTTTTCTTCACCATCATCTAATTAATGAATAATCCCATAATCCTATGAATATATGACTTTAGCTACCACAAAGTCAATGTGCAGATAGATGAATCTCATTATTCTAATGATAGAATAACGATTTAATCAGTGAACAAGGTTGTTACTTTTGTGGCTAAAACTCAACGAAGGTCTAAAAAGGTTTCAGTTTAATATCTTAAGTTTATTGTTTTTGTTTTATCATAATAAGTAAAGGTCAAACTTGTTTCTRRTGCAAAACATCAAGTTGGTTGAAGCCTTACTAAACACCTGTTCCAGCATGGGTCAAAATCGTGATTGCTATTCAATGGAAACTTCAAAATGTTTAAATGATTTTATCATTTATGATGAATGTTGTGTTTTTATTTGGCACACTTCAGTGTGATTTTATTAAGAATGTTTGATATAGATAACAAGGCATTCAAACACCTATGTATCCTTAAAAGATCTAACAAATCAAAGAAATGAGGTCCACTTTAAATTGGAATCATCACAAGCCTTTGAGATAACCCAAATGTGAATAAATATTGATCCAAAGTATTGAATAACTGGTCATTTTTATTTGCTCTCTTTGCATCCTGCTTCAAACTCAATTGTTCCAATCACAGAAGGCCTTTCTGCCAAAAAGCACATTTCTAATGTTTAAACTCATAATATAACCATTGAAATTAAGGAAACAGTAATTATCTTGAGTCCTTGGGCCACTCAAACTCTTCCATCAAAGATGCATCAACAATTAACAAAAGTCTAGGTCAATATTGATGACGGTTGTAGATGTTCTGTTCTCTGTGGGTCTGATAGTGATTAAGATACCGTGTGGTCAGGCGGTGGTGTTTGCAATAGTGTTGCTGTGTGTGAACAGGAGTTGGCCTTTTGACAACAGCCAAGACATAAATATATCAAACTCTCAACAACCTTTGGGTTTTTTTTGTCTTTCTTTAGGTGAAGAGAGCCAGAAAAGACAACACATCAGATGATAAAGAAAGGTACTTATTTTAACAGTTTGTTTTTGTTCAAGATTAAGTTGTTTTTCTTTGGATATTGAATTGTTTATAGGATGCTCTGTTAGCAGGTCCTTCTCACCACACAAGGATTGTTTGAATCATTTGAATTGCAGCATCATTTGGCTATATTTTTGACTTATTAGTAGTCCTAAAGTACCACATTATTATAGATATTCTTCCATTTGAAAACCTTTTCATTTTACATATAAAATAATATATTTGAAGGAAGTAATGTAGCATTCTTCTAAAGTGTTAGATATACATGAGATGTTTAATGCTAAGTATCATAATTAAATCCAATATTGGATCAAAATTTGACATTAAAACTACAATTTTGTTAAGGCAATTTGGTAATTTAATTTGTTATAAGCTTAATGTAACTTTGCATAAAGATTTTTTGAATTCTTATAACATTGAACAAAATGTCAAATTCAATGAATTAAACCAAAAAGAAAATTGAGTTGATTTGTAATTAACAATTGTTAATCTAAAATAAATCTTAAAAATGATTATAATTATATGTTATTAATGTATTATTACTCACAGTATTTTTTTTGTAAAAATTTGAGTACCTCTGGCTATATTATCATAAAACATCCAGAAATCAAGTCTTTTTTTCTATAAAAAAAGTTTTTCAAAACTTTCATCTCTGTTTTTAACAGTTCAAAAAAATAATATTTTCATACAAAACTTTAAAACTATGAAAAATTGAAAAAAATAAATAAATAAAAACTATGCTGATGTAACTGCACAATTCTGATGCGATTTCTCTATTGTCTAATCTGCCATAAAAGGCTACYTGGATGAAAAATAATGCAAAACATTAGTAAAAACTTCAAAATCAAATAGAACTATCCATATGGGTCTAATAATCATGAAGCAACAGATTTCAAGAAAAAAAATCCTTAATAATTTGGGCAAAAAATGTTGGAGTAAATGATGTCATTTACTCCATCCTTTTGTKCTTCCATCTTTCGAATCTAAATTTCTCTGATGTGGGATAATTCCAAAACAAATATTTTCCCGCAATTGTTTTAAATATATATAAATGAGTCAAATATTTGTATTGCTCAAAGTTATGAAATAAGTGCATTTTCATGAAAGTAGCACTTTAAATTGCCCAATTTAGCACTATTTAGTTAAATTATATAAGTTAGCATGCAAATGGTGAGAAAATCATTTGGGTAACCTGGTATATAAATATTGCAAGTCCTTGCAGTGTATTTCATTTGCAACAACAACAACAACAACAACTCTTTATTTGTACCTTTGACAAAAGTTTACAATTGTGATCCTGACTAAATTAAATTACAGTAGGTACTGGCCCTAACAAATAACTTGGAAGCTAAAAATGGGTTAGGACCAGGAAACAGTTATGCATTTTACATTGTTAAGATGACGGAGCTATATTCGACGGAAAGAGATATGTTACAGATAACACGCACACACATAAAACACACACACAAATGTTTTGGAGGAAGATATAGATAAATATAAATATTAGATACAATTTTAATACAGTATAAAAGAATAATTAAATTTGAGAAAACTTAGAATTCCGGCAAACAGCTAATAATCATTCAAAGTTTTACTTTTCATCTTGGATTTAAATTGCTGAAAATTAGAATTTTTAATGCAATCTGGTAGTGCATTCCATATTTTAGGTCCTTGGAATTTAATATTAAATTTGCCATAATTCGTTCGTGCCTTTGGCAAATAAAAGTTGATGCAGATCTTGTGTTGTATCTATGAACTTCATTAACAGGCACGAAAAACTTTTCGGTAGAGGGCAAAGTATTATGTTTATATTTAAACATGAATATTGAGATGTGATAATCCACAAGATCATGAAATTTAATTATATGTAGGCTTTTAAATAGCGGACTAGAATGTGCATCAAATGGTGAAAAAGAAATTAAACGTAAAGCCTTTTTCTGCAGAATATAAATTGGTTGCAAAGTTGTTGGATAAGTAATACCCCAAACAAGGATCCCATAAATTAAAAATKGATAAATGAGAGCATAATACAGCTTAATAAGGACAGTTATGTCAACATAATGTCATAATTTTGATAGAATGCCTACATTCTTTTTAATCTTTTTTGCAATATAATCAATATGAAATTTCCATGATAAACAAAAATCAATATAAATTCCAAGGTATTTTATAGTTTTTTCTTGTTTCAGATTTTTGTTATCTAAAAGAAGCTGAAAATCATTTGCAATTTTTCTTTGCAATACATGTCACAGCAGATATCTTGGTTGAACTTCAACAAAGGATTTCTCATTATTACATGCATCTATTTATCATTTAATTAGTATGGCTTCTGTTCTTTTGTCTTTTGAATCTTATGGGAATGATTGAAAAAAACAAGCAATATTACAATTAATATTTTAGTTAAATGCAGAAAAAAATTGTGTGCAGTTTAACACAAAAAAAGSAATAAAAAAACAACAACAAACAATGGAAACAAAACAAAAAGAAAAACAAACCAAATCAAACCAACCAAAAATTGATATATTAAGATTGCTTTGCCTATAATCTAAAGAAATWCATGTGTAGACAGGTACTGCTGGAAGTTTCTTACTAATAATTTAAGTCTTTTGCTGTCCACAGCAGCGTCAGACTCTGACAATGCTGTAGACATTGAAAGCTTAGACTAAATATTTCAGTACTAAACTTCCAGCAGTACCTGGTTGCACTCGTATGCTGCTAGGAGAACTTTCAAAATTAATTGTACATAATGTAATTCTGAACTACTGTTACTAAAYGTATGGGGTCACGTAAAAAGCTTAAAATATAAAAGTACTGAAAAAACTGAAAAATTTCAGGAATTTGAAATTTTTTTTACACGAATATCATAAACATGTGTAAATTGTCCTAAATCAGCATGCAYTGAATCAAATGTCAGTGCCAAGAATTACATTTCTGATTACGACTAAGTAAAGGTCAATGTCACACTCATATACTTTTAAAAGCTTTGCTTTGCAGAAAATGCCCGCACAAAGGCAACTTTCTAGTTTTTCATGATCCGCTAAATTTCTTTTTGCTATTTGCAGGAGCTTGTAATTCTTGTTAATTAATTGTAATTTCCTGAATATACAGCAACAGCAACAGACCATTTTCTTGCTAGTTCTTGTTCAATTCAATAAGAAAWTTCTTCAATTCCTAAGCTACTTCAGTCATGTTCTTCTTATAATCGATTATTTATGACGGTTCCTATACTTCCGCTTAACTTTAATGGGTCATTTCCAGTAAAGAGCTACTACACATGCATATGGTTCAGATTGGCTTGTGGCTGACTACTTTCTCTTGAAATGTCTGTGGTCTACAGACAGACTGATATTCTTTTAGTGTTGGTTTGAAATGTCATACAAAGCATGGTGACRTAGGACAATTTATRCAGTCATGTTTATACACGCTACGCTCACTTGTGAGAGGTCTTTTCAACACTCGAAGATAAAATCTGTATCTCCTCGCGCCCATGTAATATCCTCTATATATTATAGGATGGAATAATAATAATACAGTGGMAAAATCAAAATTAGCCAATTACAATGTACTGTAGTATACAGCAATATGCAGAAATTATGATCTTTTTGACTCATATTTCGAGTGTATATTGAATATATKRAATATATCAGAAATTATGGGCTAACATTTCTGATATTTTTTGAAGTTGCCTAGCACTTGTACTTTCTAAAAATAATATTGGTGATGACATCACATAATTTCTAATGTATTTTATATATACCTGAAATATGAGTCAAAATGATCATAATTTCTTCACATTGCCATAGTAAAGTAGAATAATAATAATATATAATAGAAAAGTATCTTCAGTTTGACAATAACAGCAATAGATAATAAAGTACAGTCAAGTACACCTGCATGAACATCATTTACCCACAAAGAAATTTGACTAAAATTCTAAATTTTAAWAATTTATGTTAATTAGATGGCGGCCATTATGGTAAAGGTGTATAGAGTGGAATGTTTTTCAGCTCTTTCAGTTTCAACTTTTTATCATGACCMACATATAGATGTTGATGTTTTCCTATGCACTTTTGGTTTAGTTGTCATAAGTAAAGCTTGGGTTCATATACTCTCTTGACATCACYGGCCTAAAAAGTATTTTTATATGCAACAGTCATTTCAAAGATGAGGAAACAGTCTGAGTATGAAGGCTGATTAGCATTCATATGACAAAGCCTCTTGATCAAAACTGCAAATAATATGTAACCTTACAATGGAAAACACCCAAGACGTTGCATAATCTTGACAAGTACTAGTGGATTTAGGTATTTCTTTTAGCAATCCTTGTTGTTACAATAGAATTATATTACACTGGTTTATGATTATAAGTTACTTTCAGTGACTTCCCTTTGTACCCACTCAACRCACTGTTTTTCTTTGAATTTTTTACAATACTTGATTTACTTTGTCTGATAATTAAATTATAATTAAATTATTCTCTTAAACTCATTCTTGAATTTTTCTTACAAGAACAGTGCAATAGACAAAGGTAGTAATCACATTGTCTGGAAATTTACCCATCTATTTTAACTGATTCATCTGAGAAGTTTGTGTTTGTGAGTTGTTTTCCTTCCAGTGTTGAAATAGCCACTTAAGATGGTCAGTGAAAGGGAGAGGGAGGGGAGGGAGGGGAAGGGAGGGACGGGAAGGGAGGGAGGGGAGGGGGAAGGCAAGAGCAGGGGCAGATTGTATTAATTCTTTTCGAGAATAGGAAAAAGTTTTATTCATTTTAAACTGATATAACAATACCAATAGTGAGCCAACATTTCTGGGTKCATATATGGATTTTGCCTCCTTATATGGTTATGAAGTGATGTTATTTGTTACATAAATTAATGATTGATGGATGCAAATCAATGCTCAGATACTTTATGAAGGGGCATTTATTGCTTTAACTGTAAACAAGTTTGTCAAGATTGCTATTTGTGAATCAGTTTAGGCTTGTC